TCTTGTCTCCCTGAGTCTGCCAAAGCTCTTGCATTTCAGCTTTGAGCTCTCATTTCATGATGCAACTATTTTATCAAGTTTTCTGTTTTGGTTGTTGTGTGAAATACTGTATTACCACTTTATCTAGTCTATGGAGCCCTTTTTCCAGTCTTTGGTCTTAGCCTGCCATTTGGTTTTCCTATTTCTTTCCTAATTTTTTCTCGTATATTTATATAGATCCTTTTGAAGTTTTTTGTGTATGCATCTTTATTTATTTATTTATTTATTGAGACGGAGTTTTACTTTTGTTACCCAGGCTGGAGTGCAATGTCGTGGTCTCGGCTCACCGCAACCTCCGCCTCCTGGGTTCAGGCAATTCTCCTGCCTCAGCCTCCTGAGTAGCTGGGATTACAGGCACGCGCCACCACGCCCAGCTAATTTTTTTGTATTTTTAGTAGAGACGGGGTTTCACCATGTTGACCAGGATGGTCTCGATCTCTTGACCTTGTGATCCGCCCGCCTCGACCTCCCAAAGTGCTGGGATTACAGGCTTGAGCCACCATGCCCGGCCGTATATGCATCTTTAAAATAGGCAGGTTTTTCAGGGACCAGCTGTTTACAGGATGCTTGTTGGGGGAGCTACCAAGAATGTGTTCTGGGCTGGCTGCGGTTGTTGCCTTGCCTTGGGGTTCTGGGTGAGTTCATTTACCCTTTGTCTCTAGCCAGCCAATCGAGATAGGCAAGCTGTCTCTTAGCATCTCCACATGCAAAGGATGTCTTCTCCACTGCCACAGAGTGTGAGGCAAATGTAGCTGGTGCGATTTCTCATTTCGCCTCTACTTCAGGTCCAGGGACGTTCCTGCCTTCTTAAAACAAGGAATTAATTTGGTACCAGAGTGTGGCCTTCACCCACAGGAAGTACATATTTTTGCAGATGTTTCTGATATCTCTAGCTTCTGTGTCCTCTCTCTGTAGCATTCTTTCTTCTTTTCCTTCTGTGAAGCGAAGGAGTCCCTGCCTGAGCTCCCTGCTTTTGACAGCATTTCTACCTGTTTGAGGGTTTGGATTTTGGATATCCTCTAGTTATAACAAAAATGGAGTTTGCATTTTTATTTATTCCTTTTGCATTTGGAACACATTTTGAACAGCATTTGAAAACGCCAACTTTATGGTGCAGTGTTAAGTAGAAGTTTTAACTGACTTTTTCTGTTAATCAGACTCTAGTCTTTATGACATCTTATATTAGACCTTTTACTACACCTTCTCCATAAAGCCCCCACCACCACACTGTTGTCCATCTTCGAAGTCCCTTTTTTTTTTTTTTTTTTTTTTTTTTTTTTTTGAGATGGAGTTTCGCTGTTGTTACCCAAGCTGGAGTGCAATGGCACGATCTCGGCTCACCCGCAACCTCCACCTCCTGCGTTCAAGTAATTCTTCTGCCTCAGCCGCCCGAGTAGCTGGGACTACAGGCACGCACCACCACGCCGGGCTAGTTTTTTGTACTTTTAGCAGAGACGGGGTTTCACCATGTTGACCAGGATGGTCTCAATCTCTTGACCTCGTGATCCACCCGCCTCGGCCTCCCAAAGTGCTGGAATTATAGGCATGAGCCACCACACCTGGCCTCATCTTCCAAGTCCCTAAAGCCCAAGGAATATGCTACTCAGATCTATGAAAAGCCTTTCATTCATTCAGCACGCCTACTCTGGGCATTGTTCTAGGCCTTGGACATAAAGCATGAAAGAATTAATACAAGAGCTTGACACACCAAAGGCAAGTTTTATGATTTCATATGGACTAGGGGTCAGGGATGAATAGAATGGAAGACATAGTTTGGGATTCTGAGGAAGTATGATGTAAAGGGTAGAACATGAGCTCTGGAATCAACACCATTCTGCTACTAATACACATGACATTGGGATCCTTTTATTTCCTTTTCCTCATATATAAAATGTATCAGTTTCTTCATACATAAAGTGAAGGCAGGCCGGGTGCAGTGGCTCACTCCTGTAATCCCAGCACTTTGGGAAGCCAAGGTGGGCCGATCGTGAGGTCAGGAGATCAGGACCATCTGGCTAACATGGTGAAACCCCGTCTCTACTAAAAATAAAAAAAAATTAGCCGAGCATGGTGGTGGTGTGTGCCTGTAATCCTAGCTACTTGGGAGGCTGAGGCAGGAGAATCACTTGAACCCAAGAGGTGGAGATTGCAGTCAGCTGAAATTGTGCCACTGCACTCCAGCCTGGCGACAGAGAGAGACTCTGTCTCAAAAAAAATAAATAAATAAAGTGCAGGTATGGAGGACTATTTCTCTCCTTTTTGATTAAATTGTGGTAAAATATGTGACATATAGTTTACCGTCTTCCCTGTTTTTAAGCTCACAATTCTGTGTCCACACTGTTGTGCGGTGGTCACCGCCGTCTGTCTCCGGAGCTCTTCATCTTGCAAAACAGCACCTCCGTGCTGGAACAGCATCTTCCCCTGCCACCGCAGCCCCAGTCCAGTTACTCTCTGAATTTGACTACTCTGGGTGCCTCCCAGGAGTGAAATCACACAGTCTTCATCCTTTTGTGTGTGAGTCGTTTCACTTATCATAGTATCTTCAGGGTTCATTTGTGTTGCAGCGTGTGCCAGAATTCCCTTCCCTTTTACAGCGTCTTAATTCAGATGAAAACAAAAAAAAATTCCTTTCCTTTTTAAGGCTGCATAATATTCCGTTGCATTTATGCGGCACATTGTGTTGATCCATTCGTCTGTTCATGGACAGTGGGGCTGCATCCACCTTTTGGCTGTTGTGAATAATTCTGCGATGAACATGGGTGTGCACATTCTCTTCAAGTCCTTACTTTCAGTTCTTTTGAGTGTATACCAATAATGGAATTGCTAGACCATATGGTAATTCTGTTTTTAATTTTTTGAGGAACCACCATACTGTTTTCAGAGTCCTATTTCTTGATGGGGAAATATAAACAGTGGAATTTCCCCAGGGAATAATTTTAAAACCAGTCTTTTTTAACATTTTGTAAATTATCTAAATATGAGACTTTTACCATTAAATCTTCATTTGAATATAGCTAATATGAATAATTCATATTATATAAAATGTGAAAATGCCTCATGAGAGTGTGTGTGTGTATGTAGACAGAACAGTGGTTGATAAGGCTGTGTGGGCACACATACAAGGAATACATGTGATTTATTTCACTGTGTCCTCAAGATTAGAAGTCCTTGCACTTACTGAGGGTAAAATACAGGGAGCCAAGCCGATGCTAGAGGACTTCAGATGCCAGAAGTGCACAAGTCCCAGACATGCAGACGTATCTTTCTTCTTCACTCTCCATTGCTTACAGTCGACTGCAGGTTGCCTCTAGACCCTAGACCAGTGGTTCTCCGCTGGGGTGAGTCTGCCCGAGAAACACATATGACACTGCTGGAGACATTTTTGATGGCCGAGGTGGAGGAGTGCCACTAGCACCTAATGAGTAGAGACCAGGGATGCTAGTGAACAGGTCACAGTGACAGCATAGCCCCACAGCAGAGGATTATCTGGCCCCAAATGTCACTAGCACCCGGGCTGAGAAGCCCTGTTCCAGACCCAAACTATGTTCTCAGCCTTGTCTTAGCCTCTCTCTTACAAAAATAAAGTTGCCATCCCAGCCAGATCCAGGAGCTCCACATACCTACCCGTACGCCAGCTGAACTGCTCCTTCCAATGCCTTCTATCTGAATTTTTTTTCCCTGCTTCTCTCAGGTCAGAGCCCAGCTTCAGCCCTTCCACTGTCTCTGTGAAGCTCTCTCATCTCTCTAGCCACTGTTCCCTTTCTTCTCTGACCTCCCCTAGGACTGTCCTGATCATTTGGCAATTAGTTAATAATAGAAGGTTGTACTTGCTATCTTACCAACTTGACCGAACACACTGATACACTGCGATTCAGCTTTGTTTGACTACTAGCTGGATGGAACCTGAGCCCAAATGTGAGCCTCGTGCTTGGAAAGGTGTTTGTGCTGAATTTGCTTTCTAATCTAAGTGGCAAAAAATGAGGTGAGGATGGGTGCAAAGGAATTGGGCTCTATCTTGCTCTGATCACATCCCTCCAATGGAGCACAGGCTGGAGGATCTGCCTTGTGGAAGGTGGGATCCGTTCATTTCAACTGCTTGGATAGGGATTATTCTGTCATAGCTGGACCTACTACTTAATGACAGTCAGTGTAGATGGTGATATTAATAGTGAAAGCCATCATTTCTTACTTCACAGTGTGTCCTGGGTACCAGGCTAGGTGCTCTACACACATTTATCTCATCCAGCCCTCACTGCAAATCCTGGAAGGAAGCTGAAGCACTTCAAAGATAATTTGCCCAGGGCCACCCAGCTAGCAGGTAGCAGAGCCGGAATTTAAAGAAGAGCTGTGTGCCGGGCGCGGTGGCTCAAGCCTGTAATCCCAGCACTTTAGGAGGCCGAGGCGGGTGGATCACAAGGTCAAGAGATCGAGACCAACCTGGTCAACATGGTGAAACCCCGTCTCTACTAAAAATACAAAAAATTAGCTGGGCATGGTGGCGCGTGCCTATAATCCCAGCTACTCAGGAGGCTGAGGCAGGAGAATTGCCTGAACCCAGGAGGCGGAGGTTGCGGTGAGCCGAGATCGCGCCATTGCACTCCAGCCTGGGTAACAAGAGCGAAACTCCGTCTCAAAAAAAAAAAAAAAAAAAAAAAGAAGAGCTGTGTGACTTTGAAGCCTGTGCTCATGCTACCACCTCACTGCCTTGAGTGTAGCCAGGCATCTACTTCTATCGCTGCTGAGGGCAGAGATTCATGTTGTGATGTGTCAAGACCTGGGAGGGACCCCTCGTGGTATCCCTGAAGAGGTGGATGAGCAGGTTGGCTTGAGTGTCTGAGTTGTGAATCAGGCCCTGGTGTCATGTCTGACCACTCTGCTGCTACAGGACAAGGAAACCTTGTGGGCTACACCCTGACCACCACAGACTTTCCTGACTCTTCTGGTTTCTGCTTCCCCTTTAGGTGCACTACATCCTCCAGGAGGTGGTGATGGGTGGGATGGTGTTGGAAACAAACATGAATGAAATTGTGGCTCAGATTGAAGCTCAAAACAGGCTGGAGAAATCCGAGGTGAGCAAGCAGCTGTGCTCTAGCCCTGGCTGGTTAGAGAAAACCTGGGCAAAAGCAGGAGTGTGTATATGTGTTGGTTTGTGTTGCTGTGAAACCTCAGGAAATGTTTTATACTCATCTTCTTTCTTCCTTGAGTCCATTGAAACTGATGGATTTGAAGGTCAACCAGCCTTGAAAATTGAACAGGTAACAAGGTTTGAAACCTCAGACTTCCAGGGTAGAAGAGTGAATGGAAAAGCCAGATGGCAGGGGAAGGTACACAGCTTCTGGCCTGGGGGCTATAGCCCATGTTTGTGGTTTGTAATTCCTCCTTTCCAAGCCACTGGCTCCCTGGAGGGACCCAGAGCCCTCTCCTTCTATTGCAGTGTGGTTTCCTAGTTTCTGTGCTCTGTGAGTCTCATCTCCCAGCAGCCATTTCTCTTGGTGTCTTTCAGACCTCAGAGTTGCCAGTGTCCTTATTTCCAGTTAGCCTTATAAAAAACAACAGTAGAGTCTGGGCTAGGTTTGGAAATAGCATACCCCAGTCCACCCCCACATGGTGCTGGTTTTGGTACAGATGTTCACATGAATTCTGTCCCTTCCCTCTGAAGTCTCTCCATCCCTTCCTTATCCTTACCAGGGTGCAGAGGTTACACATGTATACTTTCACATGCAGAAATAGCTGACCAAATTACCTCTAATTATCTGAGTGTCTTAAAGAGCTTCTTTGCCTTGTATAACGGAACTTGATCTTGCGAAACCAGGAATTCTTCTTTCTGTGAGGACTGGCAGTCCTGCTGAAGAAGCTTTTCCAGACCACAGCTATTGTGGCAGCTATAGTTCTTTCAGAAATGTAGGCTGGGAAGATTCCAGGAATAGTAAGTGAGTCAGAGGCAAGGGGGTTAGAAATGAGAAGGAATGGAGACTTGCTGGGTGAGGGCGGAATCGGAGTTGGTATCCGGAAAGAAAGCAATAGGGGAAGAAGGATTGTGACAGTCTTCATCCACCTTTCCCCTTCTCCCCACGTCGGGGTGAGCCTGGCAGATGGGGTTGGCTATAGATGTCCGTACTCTTTGCACTTTGTCACCAGCCCTTCTGTATCTGTGACCCCTCCCTTCTGCATGTTACTGACTCCCAGCTTGTTGCCACATGACATGTCCAAAGCCAGCTCTCTTCATCTCACATTAGTTTGCAAGCAGTTGCCCGAGAGCTGTGACTTTCCTTTTCCTTTTAAGAATTTCCCTGTGACTACACTTTTCAATAAGAGTCTTCAGTCTCTTGCAAAAAGTGCCCCTGACAAACCACCTGAGATGATTTCAGCATTTATTGAGCACCCACCATGCACCAGGCACTGTGAGATGCTGGTGCTGTGAAACTGCTTGGGCCACACCCACCTCTGAGGAGCGGGTGTCTGGTGGGACTGCAGGCCTTGCATCCCTGCGCCAAACCCCATCTAACCTCAAGATTGTTTTGTTGGCTACTTTTGAGGAATAAGGGGGGAAATTAAAACTTCTGTTGTATGTGCTCAGTTTGGAATTTTTCTAGGAATCCCTCACCTGTTATTTTGTTTGCTTGTTTTGGTTTTTGCTTTTTTTTTTTTTTTTTTTTTTTTTTTTTTTTTAGCATTAAGCAGATAACACTGAGAATTGTCTGAAACTCACCTCTCATTTCTTCTCAGGGTGGCCTTTCAGCAGCCCCTGCACGGGCCGTGTCTGCAGTGAAAAACATCAACCTGCCTGAGATTCCTCGGAACATCAACATTGGCGATCTCAACATTAAAGTTCCCAACCTGTCCCAGTTTGTCTGAGGGTCAAGGATTGGGTTGAAATTGAGTCCTTAAGGCAAGCAAAGATGAGCACATCTGGAAACAGAACCCATTTTGAGCCTTAGAAGAGGGAAGCCTCAGATCCCAGAACCTTTGTGTCTGGGGAAGACTGTTTGACATGGAATGGGGATGGGATTCCTGTTGACTCAGTTCTCACATGTGCAGCCATGCCGCTCTCTGATGCACACACAGCCACTGCAGATGTGAGGGGCCCTGCGTTCCTCAGCAGGAAGTCAGCATGCCCAAGCCACTTGGACCTTTACCTCTCACACGGACGCTCCCAAGGGAGTGTCCTGCTTCCCAGAACCTCCTCACTAGGGCTGAGCCCCTTCTCACTAGAGTCTTCATCCTTAGCACCACAGGCTTCTGAGGTCCCGTGGCCTTCCCTTGCTGGTGAGGGGTCATAGGTAGGTAGAAAAGGGCTGGCCCTACAGATCTGGGGATGTGGTGAGTGGCAAGTAAGGACAGGATTTTAGGAGAACCAGAGTCACCCTCTGGCTATACTGAGATTGTTATACTCAGAATCCTTTTGTTTCTTTGAGATAAAGTCTTGCTCTGTTGTCCAGGCTGGAGTGACAGTGGCAGGATCTCAGCTCACTGGAACCTCCACCTCCCGGGTTCAAGCAGTTCTCCTGCCTCAGCCTTCCCAGTAGCTGGGATTACAGGAATCCACCACCATACTTGGCTAATTTTTGTACTTTTAGTAGGTACAAGGTTTCACCATGTTAGCCAGGCCGGTCTCGAACTCCTGACCTCAAGCGATCCAGCTGCCTCAGCCTGCCAAAGTGCTGGCGTTACAGGCATGAGCTTCCATGCCTGGCCTCCAGAATCCTCTTGTATCACTATACCTTTTGATTACCACCTCATGAAGAAGACACTTCGTGCACTGTCCCAGTCTGTGCAGGACACAATCCAAATCATAAAGCTAGCACAGGCCCACCACATTCCTGCTAATAGGGGGAGGGACCCTCCACAAGCACACATGCCAGGGCTTCTCCTCACAGAGGAGAGGTCCTGTGACTGTAGAACGTTAAAGCTGACAACATGTGGAACATCCCAGAATTATGACTCTTCCCCAGTTTAAAATACATTCTCCTCACAGGAACAAAAGGTTTGTTACGTGTTATGAATGAGCTGCCTCCATAGGAAACCCACTGGCACCTGTGCCAGGTTCTGGAGGGTGGTCACCTGAGCTGGTGTCGCCCTTTTGGGGCCTGGACATGACACACACTGGCTGAAACTAGGAACAGGGCTGTCTCATTCTTTGAGTCTCTCATCGGACTGGCAGCCCGCATCTGTGGAGACTGTAGTCAGTGGCTTTGTGATATATGGAATAGTTAGAGGACAGTAACCCATTTCCTGCTTCTCCCTGATCACATCACGCCCTGCTGGGCCATACCCCAAACAACCCCCTTTCTGCTAGGGCTGGCCACATTGAGGATTAAGTCAGAGTATCTTGAGCCCTCTCAGACCCTTGTTTATTCAGGCCTCTGCCGCATATAGAGCCAGCTGTCTCCCCACCACCTCCACCACCATGGAGCCCACTTGGTAAAACCCTCTTGGCCCAGCTTCACCGGAAAAGACAGCAGGGGAGCCAGGCTTGAACCAGTGCAGCTAAATCTCATCTTGTGGACCAGTCTTTAGTAAGTCTTTAGCAATGATTGACAAGAATATTCAGATCAGTGGTGGGGCTAGTCCACATTTAGCAATAGCCAAACTGGAGAGTCTCTGAGGTATGAGAGTCCCAGAGGGATTTGTCAGCTCCTGGCAGATGTCCTGATTTTCACCTTCCTGAGTCTCCCCTCCCGAAAGAGGAGGCCAGTCTCACTGTGGTGATTGTTAGCCCAGGGTGTGCCATACTCACATGCCAGCATGGTGGCGTTGGCACTGGCAGGCTGGTGAATGCCATCTTCAGGGTTACAACTCTCACTTCTCTCCATCTGCAGTCTTTCAGCAGAAGTTGGCAGATGTGAAAACAGTCCCCCTGTAGGGAAGTAGTTCCCTGAAAATGATTAATTCTTTCCAAAAGACTTAAAATTCTTTCCTATTTCATTTTTTCCTTTCAAAAAAGGAAACATATTCATGTAGTTCAAAACTTAAGAAAACAAAAGTCTGTTCAGCAAAAGACACCCACTCTGTTTCCCCAAACACCGAGCCCCATGCTCCATGCCCCATGCCCCATCCTCGTAGCAAGAAGTGTTTCCAGTTTAAAGGTTAAGAAACAAGGTCCTGGCTGGGTGTGGTGGTTCACACTTGTAATCCCAGCACTTTGGGAGGCAGAGGCAGGTGGATCACCTGAGGTCAGGAGTTCAAGACCAGCATGACCAATATGGTGAAACTCCATCTCTAATTAAAAAAAAACAACAACAAAGTCCCTGGATTTTGATTTGGGATGTCTTCCTGAGAGTGTGAGCTGTGTTCCATTTGGCCCTGGTGGTTGACCTCAGCCCACTAGGATCATGCCTCCCTCTCCAGTGAGGGGGGACTCCCCCTCACCCTGTGCGGTGGCACCCCTGCCTGGCACTGCCTGCCCTTGCTCAGTGTAACTTTCCTGTGGCACTCTGACGGACCAGAGATTTGGTTTCTGAAGTGACTGGCTGTTTACCCCTGTTGGGATCTGAGTCCAGCCAGGGCAGGGGGCTCATCTCTTGTTCAGCGCTGCATCTCAGCCACTGTGCACCATGCCTGGTCCCTGGTGTTCAATAAATCACTGTTGGATGAGTGAACGGCTGAGGCAAACGGCAGCTCATTCTCAGTCTCAGCGTGTGCTCTCCAGCGCCCTGTGCTCAGCGCTTGGAAAGGAGAACCAAGCTGGTGGTGTTGGGAGCAGGAGGTGGGGAGGACCGGATGATGGCCTGTGGAGCTGAGGGAGAGGAGAATGGCAAAGCTGGTGTTGGCAGGTGGAGACCATGTAACGAGGAGGCCTAAGGATGGGGCTCTCGAGAGGGAGGGAAGGGTTTGGGAGGGCAGCAGTCAGGAGTGGGCAGAGAGGGAGGGGGCCGGGAGGGCAACAGTCAGGAGTTTGGATGTAGATGTGGAACGCATTCGGTTGGGGTTGCCCAGGCATCTCTACAGGCAGATGTCCACCAGTCAGCTGGGAAACTGAGTGGGCAGCAGAGGAAGTGAGTGTCCACCCAGAAATGTTGATTGGAGCTGTGGCCGAGGAAAGAGAGGGTTGAGTCATGGGTAGGGGAGAGAGGAGCATCTGGACAGTGGGGCGACTTCACGTCAGGAGGGCACTTTCAACGGGGAGGGAGACCAGGAAGAGATGGCCTCTGTCAGGCCATCTGGCTTCTTTGCAAAGAATGGATTAAAGGGGAGAAAGGAAAAATTCTCAGGCCCAGTTAGGAGACCTTTATTGGTGGCCCAGGCCAGACCAGGGCAGGACAATGGGATGGAGAGGAGTAGAGGATTTGTGGGACATTCTGGGGTTAGAATCAACAAGGCTTGGGGATTGTCACTGGACAGGGAGGGAGGCATGAAGAAGGGAGGGACGGGATGACCAGGACCTTGGTGGATCCGAGGGCCCTGCTGTCGGTGGGGCATTGTGGGAGGGGCAGGATGGAGGTGGATAACTTGCGGCTACAGAGAATGCCCAGCACAGGAGGAGGCAACCCATTCAGAGAGGAGGCTGGGATTAGGAGTGTGTGGAGGCCAGGGGAGGAGGCTAGGATTAGGACAGTGGAGGCCATGGGAGGAGGAGGAGGCTGGGATCAGGAGAGTGTAGAGACAGGAGGGGGAGGCTGGGATTAGGAGAGACTGGAGGCCATGGGAAGAGGCTGGGATTAGGAGAGTGTGAAGGCCGTGGGCGGCAGGTTTCTGGGACTCATGGGGTTGGGGTTGTCAGTGGTTGGATGCACAGATTGGGCTGTGGCCAAGAATGATTGAGATCTGGCGCCTGGCAGGTTTAGCTAGTCTCTAAGTTTCCAAAATGGCCCCCACTCACCAGGCTCTGAGTGGAGGACTCTGGCCCAGCCGGGGGTAATGACGCTTGGGAGAGCAGGCCAGGGTCATGTGCGAAGCCCTTGCATGACCTCCAGTTTGTAGAAGGGGCTGAGTAATAATAGAGCAGCCAAAGTAGACCTTCCTCCTGCCTGAAATGTGTACTGCCCCTCCCCAGAGAGCACGGCACTCCACACACGTTTGCACCAGGCTCAGCCATGTGATTTGCTCTGGTCAATGCCGGGAGCATAAATGAGGGCTGCCACCTCTAAGGAGAAACCTGCAGAGTCAGCATGATGTTCCAAGGTTCACTTTTATCTCTGCCAGGAGACAGGAGGTGTCCCAAATAAGGGCTGCGCCTTCAACTTGGATCTCAGATTGGAGATGACTTACCCAGAGCTTCCATCAGTCAACCCATGACAGACATGCAGCATGAGCAAGACCTAAACCTGGTTGTAAGCCGCTGAGACCTTGGGGTTTGTGTTTTTTTGTTTTGCTTTTTGTTTTGTTTTGTTTTTGAGACAGAGTCCCACTCTGTCTCCCAGGCTGGAATGCAGTGGTCCAATTTCTGCTCACTGCAACCTCGGAATCTCAGGTTCAAGCAGTTCTGCCTCAGCCTCCTGAGTAGCTGCAATTACAGTTGCGCACCACCACACCTGGCTAGAAACTCTGTGCTTTTTTTTTTTTTTTTTTTTGAGGCGGACTTTCGCTCTTGTTACCCAGGCTGGAGTGCAATGGCGCGATCTCGGCTCACCGCAACCTCCGCCTCCCGGGTTCAGGCAATTCTCCTGCCTCAGCCTCCTGAGTAGCTGGGATTACAGGCATGCGCCACCACGCCCAGCTATTTTTTTTTTGTATTCTTAGTAGAGACAGGGTTTCACCAGGTTGACCAGGATGGTCTCAATCTCTTGACCTCGTGATCCACCCGCCTCAGCCTCCCAAAGTGCTGGGATTACAGGCTTGAGCCACCGTGCCCGGCCAACCCTGTGCTTTTTAACCTTGGGTGGGAGGTGACTAGCAGACCAAGGGGCTAGAAGTGAGGGTCCCTAGGATTGAATATGGGCTGCACAGAGAAACCCAGAGGCAGCCCCTGCTTAAACATGATGTTCCAAAGAGTGACACCTGGGATGAGAAGGCAGGCCGATGCCAACCCCACAGAGTTCTCAGAGCAGCTCCTAGTGCCCTGGACGAGAGGGCACAGCATGGCATCATGGAGGTCTGGGGCCGATTTGGACCTGCTTGGGAGAGCCAGCTGTCCACATTTCAGTCATGTCACGAGGCAGTCAAGCCTAGCCATCATTAAAAATTAAATTACATATGCTCACAAAGAATGTCAAAAGGGCAAAGATAATATGCAACACAACCATTTCCTGATGACGTGTTCATGTTTGACTATCATTTCTGCTTTTGAGATTGTCCACACCTCTTGTATCTGTGTGGTGGAGACATCATACCCTGGTGTGCCACCGAGCACTTCTTCCCAACACTGTGTCCACAGCAGCTGGAAACTGGACAGGGCAGGGTTATTTATTTACACCATGGAAACTGGCAAATGCTAAGGTCAGGGCCAGCCCCCTGCACCGCACGCCCGCTGTCTGCTGGTTGCTAAGCACTGTTGTCATCACATCATTGAGCCCTGGGGTCTTGGGCCACCCCCACGGGGAGCATGAGGCCCAAGGCTGCAGCTCAAGGAGGGCCATGGAGCCAGAGGCTGTGAGGCCCAGGGCTGCTGGGAATGATGCTATAAGATGGCCAGAGTGCAACAAGCCCTGCTGCCCCGCACGTTTCTCATGCATTTGCTCACTCCACCACCACCCTGCAAAGCAAAGCACCACTACCACCTGCTGATAGGGAAACTGAGGCATAGAGAAGTGACTTACCCAAGGTCACCTAGCTAATTGTCAGCCAGGATATGAAGCCTGATCCCAACGGCCATGCTATGCTTCCTTCAAAGGTGCCAGTATTGGGCTGGGGGTCTGGCCTAACCCTTCCCTGAAACCTCCAGCCAGGCGCAGTCCCTAGCCCCCAGAAGTGAGCTTCAGTGACCACCCACCTGTAGGCAGCCAGGCCTGGGAGCCACGTTTCATGCAGATGTGAGGGCTGGGGAGGCCAAGAGCAGGTGAGCCTCTTCCCAAGACAGCCGGGGCCTTTCTCCAA